CAATGGCTTCAATGTAAAGGGGAAAAATACATGGAAAGCACCCTGTGTTTAGTAGGAGTCTAATAAGTAATAAATATTAGTGAACTTCTGGCAAACAATTCTTGTTTAAAAGCCACAAATATGTACCTCTCCAAGAAGGAGCCGTGATAAATTATTAGATAAGATTCATTTTTATCTAAAGACTTGATCACTAAGATAACTGTGCTTAATTGTATCTCAGACTAAGTTTCAGGTAGTGCAACAGAAATTTCTGAAATGTTTACCTACTGAGAAAAAAATCAGTGGGTAGGGGCAAGCTGTTCCTAGTTGCTAGGAGAGCAAAATCCCTATAGAGATTAGTCATTTTGAAGGCAACACTTTATAATGACATTTATTTTTAACTGTAGTATTAGTGAAAATAATCAGGTAGGTAAATGTTGAGACCAGAAGTAAGTGTATTTTGGGGGAAGAACATCAAAAAGACTTAGTCTGTGGGGGCACCTGAGTGGCTCAGTGGGTTAAAGCCTCTGCCTTCAACTCAGGTCATGATTTCGGGGTCCTGGGATCGAGCCCCACATCGGGCTCTCTGCTCAGCAGGGAGCCTGCTTCCTCCTCTCTGTCTGCCTGCCTCTCTGCCTATTTGTGATCTCTGTCAAGTAAATAAATTAAAAAAAAAAAAAAAAAAAAGACTTAGTCTGTGACCTCACAAGAAATGTGCGTTAATGGGGCGCCTGGGTGGCTCAGTGGATTAAGAGGCCAACTCTTGATTTTGGCTCAGGTCATGACCTCAGGGTTGTGAGATGGAGCCTTGAGTCAGGCTCTGCACTCAGCCTGCTTGAGGTACTCTCTCCCTCTCCCTCCGCCCCCTTCCCCTGCTTGTGTTTTCTCAAAATAAACAAATAAGATCTCTTTTTTTTTTTTTTAAGAAACGTTCATGAAGTGTTGAATAACCCATTTTTCTCTGCTCTTAAAAACAACTCAGATTAAAATGTTTAGCACTCATGGTCTAACAGGGCAATATTTTTTAGTATATTTAGATAAAAGTCTATATATTTTAAAAACAGGAATTCGAGGGGTACCTGGGTGGCTCAGTTTGTTGGGCATTTGACTTTTGATTTTGGCTCAGGTCATGATTTCTTGGTCCTGGGATCGAGCCTCATGTAGGGGAAGAGAGTCCGCTTAAGGATTCTCTCTCTCTCTCTCCTTCTGCCCTCCCCCCTACACACACACACACACACACACACACACACTCTCTCTCTCTCTCTCTCTCTCTCTCTCTCTAAATAAATAAACCTTTAAAAAAAAAAACCCATGAATTAAAAGATCTCAAAAATCCAATCCTGTACCCCTTACTTGAAATAGTTTTGTCACAGGGTTCCCCATGAAACTAGTCTGTCCAATGTACTGAGTCTCTTATTTCCCTCGGGCTCTTTTTCAAAGGAGTCATTCGGTGATTATGGCTACATAAAAAAAATTAATAAATTTCTCTACAAGTAGATACTGAGTACACTTGAAGTATGCCAACCAGGAATTAAAAAAACAAAAACAGGAAGAAAAAAAAATGAACAAACAGAAACCTGCAACAAAAGTGGGTTTTGCAAGATAAAAAAGCAGCATTCACAAGAGTTCAAGAATCTCTTGTAATGAAATCAGGGGACAGTTTTCTCTATCTGCTGAAATGTTAGTGTACTCCTTGTTAAGGTCCTGACTTTCCCTGTCAGTGAGTTCAGACTTCTTGATTTCACTTCCCGTGTGCCAACAGATGCTGTATTTCAAGGTGGAACAAAGCTTGCCTTTCAGAACAGGGCACCAAATGGAGAGTTGACTCTATTCCCTCATTCTCTGCGCATCTGTTCCTCCTTGGTCCTGTCTCTCTACATGTCAGTTACTGCTTATCTTCCCCCTCCTTCTTTTCTATTTGCTCTTCAAACACTTCTCACTCCGTTACTTCAATGTCTTTGCTTTTTCCTTTTTTCTCTGCACTCCCCACATATGATCACCAGCTGTCCTACTTTCTGGGGCACCCTCCTTTGCACTCATTTATTATTCACTATTGAGTCCTCACTTTTGAATCCCCTTATCATGCCTGCTCCTACTCTCCACTGGTCATCATCACTTTTCAAAATCTACTGAAATGAACACATCAGTGTTTGTGTGTGTGTGTGTGTGTGTGTGTGTGTGTGTGTGTGTGTGTGTTGGAGAAAGGAATGCAGAGAAAATATTTGATGTTTTTCCCTTTTCAATCATTTAAGCATCAGCTGTTAAGAAGGATGCCTCTGCCCACCATCCTGTTCCCAGTCTTTATTCTCTTTTAAAATGGCATTATTCGGGGCACCTGGGTGGCTCAGTGGATTGAAGCCCCTGCCTTCGGCTCAGGTCATGATCCCAGGGTCCTGGGATCGAGCCCCGCATCAGGCTCTCTGCTCAGAAGGGAGTGTGCTTCCCCCTGTCTCTCTGCCTGCCTCTCTGCCTACTTGTGATCTCTGTCTGTCAAATAAATAAATAAAATCTTTAAAAATAAAATAAATTCTATTAAAATGGCATTATTCAGCTTACCGAACAGGAGTGTGTTGGAGCACTTAGTAAAATAAATTGGAATGAGAGAAAGGAAAACCCTACTTATGTTCTTGGGGACAAGTCACCAGGTTCAAGTGAAGAAGCCAGGCAAGAAAGAAAAGAGGACGAGCTGAATTAGACCTGGCACATCTCGGAAGAGATAAAACCATCACATTTTAGTGACTAATCCAGGACTGATGACCTTACAGAAACCCCTCAACCAACAAACACCCCACATGTCCCGGTTGTACACGTCAGTGCCTGGGGGATAGATATTATAAACAAGGAGTCGCTTTCCATCTCAACACTTTAATCATTTTACCAAAATAATCTGAACACGCATACATAAATACTACATTTGGTATAAGAATGTGCAACATAAAAAGTCCCTGAGATACATCCAAAAATGACGTGAAGCACATTAAATGCGATTATTCACCATACTAATTACCAAGAACTTGGTTCCCTTCCCTCATATCTAAGGCAGGTGACACTTGGATATATGTGTGTGTGTCATATATATAGATGCATGTTTTAACACTAAACCAGTCTCTCCCTTTCTGCTGCCGGATTTTCTGCCAGTTTACTGCTGCTGGGCAGGAAGTCATTTTCAGACAGTAAGGAAGGCTCATGGGGAGGTGAATTAGTTCTTAAGCCCTGGGGTGCCAGTCGACAGAATGGTGGCAAGTGAAACTAGGAGATCCCCCAAAAAGACGTTGTCCAACCCCCTCACTTTGCAGTTCAAGTGACAGAGGCTCAAAGGGGTTTGACCTGTGACAAGCACAGCTGGTTCTGCCACTATGACCGTAACCTCAGGCACGTCTGGACTCCTTCCTTTGTACAATGGACTGGTGATAGTCACAGCAAACATCTTCCAGGTGCTTCCTATGTACCAGACACTAAACCAAGGACTTTAAGTGTCTGATCTAATTATTCCAAAACCTCCATAAACTATAGATGATTACCTTCAATTAGAGATGGGATTATCACAACACAGAAGGCTTAGATGATGTACCCAAGATAAGACAATTAGGAAATGTTGCAAAGCTGATCTGGAACCCAGGAATATTTGCCTCCAAAATCCCTCCATTCCAATTCTTAAATCCCTTCTAAGAAATACCCATCAGGTGGGTTCCCAAATTCCTTCTATGGCTGAAGTCTTGCACAGCATTGACAAACCACGGCCAAAACCAGGCCCCTCCAACTGTTTAGTATTGGCAAAGGCTGCTTTTGCCCTTACATCAGCAGAGTTTAGCAGCGGCAGAAACTGGATGGCCTCCAAAGCCAGCAATAATTACTCTGGCCCTTTACAGCGGGTTTGCTCACCCCGTTCTAGAACTTTGAAGATCTAGAGTGTACTGGAACTCTGTAGCACTTGACTGAGTACAATGCACTTTGGGCATATGAATTTTAACCTAATCAATTTAAGAGTATGAAAAACAACATAAAATGAGCAACTGCTGTATTTCTTACTCTGACAAGATCGGTCTAAAAAATATTGTTCCTTCTATACCCAGAATTTGCACGTAAGTAAAAATTCAAGTATACCTTCCTTCAGCAAAATATTTAATAAATATGGTCCGTTTTAAATAGACTTACCACCAAGAAAAGCATGGTAAAATAATAGTTACTCATGTAGCTATGTAATTTGATAATTTTTTTTTTTCAAAGCAAGCATAGGTGCTTCCTCCTAGTCTGAAAATGCAAGTTCAATCTAAGTAACAATGGTGATTCTTGAAATCATATGGTTTAGCTTTAGGGATACATCTGAAATACAGTATGAGGCCCCTTTTTATTTCAGATATATCCTGAAATAGATGTTGAGAACTGTAGACATACAAACACATAAGGAGGAACCCTGAAATCACCGCAAAAAAAAAAAAGCAAAGAAAAAATTTCTCTTTTGCCAACTGACTGCTATTGCTAGGCACCTTTATTTATTTTACTTCCCCAAATGCTCACGATGAGCTGTGAAGTGTTGTCCTCCTCCATTTTCCAGATAAGGAATCTGAGGTTCAAGGTTATTACTAATTTGCAGAGGTCACACAGCTGGAATCAAATCTAAGCCAGATTACCTCCAAAATCCACTCCCCCGGTGCCCCATGTAAATTCCCCGTTAACACCAGTATCTCATAAATACTCATTTTCAAGAAAAGAATTTTTCTGGGCACCCGGGTGGCTCAGTCCATTCAGCATCTGACTTTAGCTCAGGTCATGATCTGAGTTTGCTTCTATCTTTCCCTGTGCCCCTCCACCCACTCGTACTCACGCTCATGTGTGCTCTCTCTCCCTCAAATAAAGTATTTTTTTAAAAGAATAGAATTTTTAACTTTTTCTTTATTGGCTAGCTGATAATTTGTAATTCCGCCCACACTATAATATTTAAATAAGGAAATTTTATCTGTGGGCTTTAATTTCTTTTTTTTTTTTTAAGATTTTATTTATTTATATGACAGAGAGACACCGTGAAAGAGGGAACACAAGCATCAGGAGATGGAAAGGCAGGCATTCCGCCAAGCAGGGAGCCCGATGCAGGCCAGATCCCAGGACCCCGGGACCACAACGGGGACCATGATGGGGACCATGACAGGGACCACGACCAGAGACTGGAGCCGAATGCAGACACCCAACCATCTGAGCCTCCCAGGAACCCCTTTACTCTCTCCTTTCAAGGAAAAGAAGAACTGAAGCGGTTGGATTTTAGTGAGCCTTTCAAGTGAGTCTGCAACAAATGCAGACACAGTACTTATTCTATGATTCAGCTAATTGTCCTAATCAAGTGCACAATTGCTGTTTACGGCAGAACTTTATATAAACCCGATTAATCTTGTACCACACCCATAATAATTAGTCGCTGAGGGTCCTTATTATAATAAATCGAGGATTTCTTTATATTGTATCTGTATTAGATAATGGATGTTAGCTGAACGTATTGCAATAACCATTGCACATTTTATGTAAACCAACCATCATGCTCTATGCCTTCAACGTATACAGTGACATGTGCTAATTATTTCTTAATATAACTAGAAGAAAATAATAAATTTAGGAGAAAAAGAAACCATTGTTTGAGGCTGTAAATCAACTGGCTTTCTAGTTATTGACCTATGGCCTGTATTACATTAAAGAATGTCATTTTAAACAAATAGGTTCTGCCAACTGATTTATCAAGTTAATTACTTATCTGTCGGCAGTGGCAATTCGAGGAGACTTTAAAGGACCTTCCTTGCCTTACACATTTTTTTGTCTTTCCTGGCACCTGCAGCCCAGTGTTTGGCACAGAGCAGGCACATGAGGACACCTACTAAGTAAGCTATTCATTCAACAACTTTCCAAGGCAATAACATGTATTTTCAAAGTTGGCCCCAGGACACTGCATCAAGGTTACTAGGAAGGTAAGGATGCACTTGACTACCATGCAGACCAGGAGGGGAACCTGCTGGCCCTAAGCAAAGTTGCAGATTTGGATTTTAACAAAACCCAAAGCTCACTGCAGAAACTAATTTAGTTCCACTCCCTGACAACTAAACATTTTACCAAAAACTGACTGGAAGGGGAAAAAAACTAGCATTAACAGATACTTTTTTCCTCTTCCATGATTCCATAATGCAGTACAATCTTTCCTTGTTCTGCAAACAGGTAATATCAGCACCCCTGGAGGACTGATGTTCCTGCTGAAATTTTGGTCCAGTGAAATAGATGAGAACAAGTAATTTTGTGGAAAGTGACACCGTGGCTTCCTTCTCCTCTGTTTGTAAACACAGGCTGGCTTTCTGGAAAGAGGGGAGAGGTTGCTTCCATTTTATTTTCACATCTGTAATTTCAATACACTTCTTAAAAATTTTAAGTTATAGAAAAACATAGACACAGAGGAAATAAGTTAGATGATCATTCACATTGCAAAGGGATTCTCCATAGGGCTGCATTAAATACTGAACTCTCCTAAAGCAGTGATTGGGACTTGATCTAAAAGCAGCTTTCCAAAAATGTTTCAAAAATACATTTGTAAAAGTGAGGTATACCTATAGATTCATCTGAACTCTCCTTCAAGGACAATCTAACATCTTTGCATTCATAGAGCAGGGGAATAAAAAGGACTTGTTAAGGAACAGTCAATGGATTTTTGGGTGACCCTCCTTCTCATCTTCCTTCTTCTTAGGAGATGAGGCTTTTCAGAATTCAACAAAGAGGACCCACTGGTGGCCTAGTCCTATCACTGTTCCACAACAGGACACCTTCTTAAACCCCAGGCTTGCTGCACATTGGCGCAGTGAAACGGGAGTGTGGATTTGGAGTCCACACAGACCACAAATGTGGCCTGGGGCTGATGAGGAAAGCCAAAGCAACTAACTCAAAGGCTTCCGGTAGATAAGCTATTTCTTCCCCTCTGCACCAGTGACACGGTAAGGAAGGGCTCCCTTCACAGGTGAACACTGATGCTCAGGGACAGCAGACAGAGCCCAACTGCTATTTATGCAAAAACCCCATGAGAACCAGGAATCCTTCCCACCCAGTCTTTGCGCTGAGTAATATTGATTAGCCATATGGAAACTACCATTTCCCCATAGAGTACAAATGGGTGTCTGGAAAACTCCGTCCCGTGATTCAGGAGTCCAGGAGATGCACAGCTGAGGCTCAAAAAGCTGCCCATCTGACCTCCCCAGGGATACACGCACAGGAGAACCGCCTCACCGCTCAAACCAGCGAGCCAAGTTGCGTATGCTCTTAGGTCGGTCCCTGGCGGTCTGCACAGCCTGGCAGGCCCGGCACCAGGGCTCATCCCAGAAGGAAGTGATGTGCACGGCGTAGCTCCGGCGCCAGTTGAAGTAGCGACGGTAGACTGCCGGGTTTCGGTCGAGGAAGAGCAGGTAGGCAGCCAGGGAGGAGGCACTAGGGAAGTCATCCACGTGGATGAAGGCACCGCGGGGCACGAAGCGCTCGTAGTTGGCACGGTCGGGGCCCAGCACCACCGGCACGGTCCCGGCCAGCAGCGCGTTGCGCCAGAACTTCTCGGTGATGTAATCGAGGTGCTGCGAGTTCTCGAAGGCCAGGTAGAACTTGTAGCGGGACACCGTGTGCAGGAGACCGGCGTCCGGCACCGGCCGCCCAGGCCCGCTGCGGCCGAACACGTCCACCGCCACGTGCTGGCTCAGCTGGTGGTAGTAGCGGACCCGCGCCTGGCGCTCGTCCCAGTTGCTCACCACCCAGGACACCAGCCCCCGTTTCCGGGCGAGCGGCGGGCCCAGGCCCGGGGGCTGGTCGCTGGGATGGGTCCTGGGGTAGAGATAGCCGTAAGGCACGAAGACGTCCGAGTCGGCCCGGTAGGAGAGGGTCCAGTTGAAGAGGTTACCCGCCAGGCTGCGCAAGCCCGGGGAGTGGGAGGGCGACTCGAAGTTCATCCACACCCAGCGCTGACCCGGGGGCCTGAGGCCCGAGATGGCCAGGGCTTCAGCAGCGGCCGCCGCCTCGTCGTCCAACACCCGCAACTCCAGCTCCTCCGTCCGGCGCGCCTGGACGCCCCAGGGCGGGGGCCAGTCGGGGGGGCCCTTCACGAGGTCCCGGTGGTGGAAGAGCACAGCCTGGGCCTCCGCATAGGCCGCTCGGTCGGTGAGCAGGCGGCAGCCGCTGATGTTGAAGCGCAGCCAGCAGTCCGGGGGCCGCCGCGCGCCGCTGTCGCGCCCCGCGAAGGGTTCCCACCACAGCAGCACGCCCACCGGCCGCCGCGGGGCTGGGGACGCCCAGGGCAGCGGCGGCAGCCGAGTCCAGCAGGAGTAGGCGGCCAGAGCGGTGCACAGCAGGCCGGCGGCCAGCGCCGAAGCGCCCCGCGGAAACCCCCGGCCTCCGCGCCGCCCGAAGCCCCGACCCGCCGCCCGGCCCCACGGCGCCACCATGGCGCGCGCAGGCACCGCCGCCGCCTGTCGCCCCGCGTCCGCCGGCGGAGAGCGGCGGAGCCAGTTCTCATGCTGCCGCTGCGGCTCCAGCCGTCGTTGCCGCTCGCCGCTGGCCCTGGGGCGGGAGAGGGCGGTCCCGGAATCCCGAGGCTCGCGGGTCTGGCTTTCCTCCCCGCGAGTTCCCGCAGGGCGCGCCGCCTGGGCGAGGTGAGCCGGCCCGGCAGCCCAGCCGGGCGCCGCCCCGTCCCTCCCCTCCACGGTGCCCCCAGCCCGACCCGCGCGGCTGCCGCGGGCCCTTCCTGCCGCGCCTCAGCCCGCCCCCACCCCGTCCGGGGCTCCCGGACGCCCCGCCGCGCGGCCCAGTCCGCTCACCCGCTCCCCGGGATCCCGCCTCCGGGGGTCCCGAGCCTTTCTGCGCGCGTCCAGCACCCTGGCCTTGAGCCGGGGCCTGCCCGCGGCTCTCTCCCAGCTGCGCCCCGGCTTTCAGTCGCGGTGGCCTGCACCCTCGCCTTGCAGAGCAGGGACTCGGTTCATCGCTGGGCGCGTGCGGAGAGCCCCAGAGCAGGCGCGGGTTCCTGGGGAAGGAGGGCCGGGGGTGCCGAGACCCCGGGGGGGCGGGGACGGAAGATCGAGTGCTCTTCCTTCCTCACCGCCCTGCTGTGGCCAGCGACGCCTGCCGGAGGTAGGGAGCCCGAGAGGCCGCGGGGACGTGCGGGCTGAGGCGCGGCCACCGTGGCGGTGACCGTGACCTCGCGACCCGCGGAGACCGGCCGGCAGCGCGACCCACAGAGCGGTAGTGCATTTTGTGAAACCAAGTTTCCAGGGAGGATGGTTAAACCCTGTTGTCACAAGAACGTTTCCTTTGCCTGCCTCTCAAGGAGAGGATCGGAGGAATAAAACATTTTCTGAGCAATCGAAACATTCTTTTCCCTCCCTCCGTCTCGAAATACTTCTGAGTGCTAGCCCATAAGCATTCTTGGTATGGGGCTAGGAGGGCTCATAAGCCGAAGATAAAGGTATGGCCCTTGTGGCCTTTGTGCTCAAGGCACTTCCTGCCTTTTCAGTTAAAGGAATGAATGAACAGCACTATTCATTTGACTAAGCACGGAAGAAACAACCGAATTTCTGTACTCATGAAGATCACGCAGAACACTCTGGACTGTAAAATGATGGCTAGGATAATTACTACAGCACCCAAGTTTAGGATGTAAAAGATAAGGATCTCAATCCCTCCTGCATCAGTGAGTCACAACCCAGGCATCCACTTCTCCAGTCAGTTGAGCCGTTTTTTCCCCTACAGCTTGAATTTGGATTTCTGGGTTTAGACCCAGAACTTGGACCTTCACTTAAGTTATTAAACTCTTATTCAGTGAAATTCCAATAGGCCATAGGTGGACTGCTGACCTAAGGAGAGGCGGCAGCTGGGAGAGAACTTTATTTTTTTTTATTTTTTTTTTTAAAGATTTTATTTATTTTATTTGTCAGAGAGAGAGAGAGAGAGTGAGCACAAGCAGATAGAGTGGCAGGCAGAGGCAGAGGGAGAAGCAGGCTCCCTGCTGAGCAAGTAGCCCGATGTGGGACTCGATCCCAGGACGCTGGGATCATGACCTGAGCCGAAGGCAGCGGCTTAACCCACTGAGCCACCCAGGCGTCCCGGGAGAGAACTTTAAGTAGAACACAGCTGTGCATGGTGGTTTCCCCAGCCCAGTGTCATATTAAGTTATAAGATGTTAGAGGAGAAATAGATTTGCTGAGAATGGGGCCAGCCTGTCAGGTATGGTTGATGCTATGCATACAGAAGATAAACCTGGATTTGCCATTAAAATTTCCTGGGAAGAACTTTCTCATTAAAAGTCAGGTACAGATTGTAGGGGCACCTAAGTGGCACAGTGGGTTAAGTGTCAGACTCCTGGTTTGAGCTCAGGTCCCTGATCTCAGGGTTGTGATTTCAGGGCCTTGAGATCCAGCCCCCCCCGACACACACACCCAGATGGGCTCTGGGCTCAGCTGGGAGTCTGCTTAAGACTATATCTCCCTCTCCCTCTGCCCCCTCCCCCCCACAAATAAACAGTAAATCTTTTTTTAAAAATCAAGTATAGATTGTAAAAGCTTCTATAAAGATGGTTTCATGTGCCTTGCCTCCTGGCCCACAGTGACAGTTTTGACTGTACCCATCAACCTAGTGACACTTTCCTACACACTAAAACCTTACTTGTGTGTTTTGTTTTTTTAATTTCACAGAATCATTTTCAAGCTACTTAAGCCAATTTGTCATTGAAATTAGGAACTTCACTTCCACTCTTACACTTTTAATTAAAAAAAAAACAAAAAAAAAACAGGGCACCTGGGTGGCTCAGTCAGTTAAGCGTCTGCCTTCAGATCAGGTCATGATCCCAGCATCCTGGGGAGAGCTTCTCCCTCTCCCGTTCCCCCTGCTTGTGTTCTCTCTCTTTCTTTTTCTGTCAAATTCTATTGTCAGAGTCATCTCAAGAACATCAATTTCCATGGTCTCTACTTATTTTGGTAGTGTGAAGGATACAACTCTCTGTTTAGTCTTATCTTGATGTTAAGGGAAGGGATAGAAGAGGGTATAGTTGGATTGATAAAAACCCATCATGACTTCTCTACAACCGAGTGATTCATTTACTCCGTGGGTCATGGTTTGTTCTTATTTTAAAGGAATAGTGTATTCTTATTTATTTATTTAAACAGTTGGGAAACTGGAATAAAAAATACTATTTCTACCTTCAAGAATCTGAAACAGAGGGAAGGAATCCTAGAAGGCTTTGAGAAGGTGGCTCCTGGAGTAATTAGGGACCATTGAAATCAGGAAGCAGGCTGAAATGTTAGTGTAAACAGAAGGGGCAGCATACCAACCGCCAGACAGTGAGGATGAGGATGGTTGGTTAGAAGTCACTACAGTCTAGTTTGGCTAAGGAGATGGGGGTTTTTAGCCTGAAGGCTGGAGAGAGTCTTCAAAAGGTTTTAACAAAGCAAGGGAGCAATATAATGGAATTAGTATTTGTACAAGCTCATTGTGAGGGGTGGCGAGTATATGGAAGTTGACACAAGATAGGCTTTGGTGTGCTACGCACTGGTTTGACATACGCACTGGTTAATGGGTGTGTTCTATTGAGTAAATTCATTAAACTGTAGACTTCCATATGTATCTTTGTGTCTGTATCTTATACTTTAGTAAAATGTTTTGGGTTTGGGGTTTTTGTGGGGTTTTTTTTGTTTTTTGTTTTTTGTTTTTTAGTAACACGTTTCTAAGTTAAAAAAAAAAAATCATTCTTTCATCAGTAAAGGATGAATTGGGTATTAGGGACCAGGATAAGAGCAGAAATATCTAATCCAGTTGGAAAGCTATTGCTATAATTCAGATATGAAACAAAATGCCTGAACTAAAATAGTAGATGGGAGAATGAGATTAAATTAAAACTAAAGGAGAACAAAGATAGCTAGGAGGCCAGGCCTTTTCCTCAGGAAGCCTTCCCATATGCACAAATCTTGGGTAGATTCCATGACCCTCCTATATGCTCCCATATATACATCTCCCAGAATACTGTGGGGGCAGGGATTACGTTTCATTCATAACTCCATCCCTAGCACAGAACCAGGCATGGAGTAGTATCCATCATCTCAATGAATTCTTGTTGAATGAATGAGGGCTCGTATTGCTGAAATAATCTGTTGGTATCTCTCTTGGTATCTTACAACAATCTGTTGGTATCTTACACCTTAGAAAGGGTGGAAGTATCAGGAAAAAAATGGCTACATGAATTATTTGCTGTGACATTAAGAAGCCCCTTAAGCTTTCAGGGGTAAATGCTACACATGAATTAGAACCTTGATGACAAGCATCAAAAACTCCATCAAATTAGCAGGACTCCCATTGGCCTGACCTGGACCAAGTGCTCATTCTTGAAACAATCGCTGAGGTCAGGAGACTCTTGAGATCCTCTTCTGGAGCTACAGGACAGGTTTATCTAAACCTCTTGGACTAACAATAGGGGAGGGTAGTTCTCCAAAGTAAAAGATAGAGTGCTGTTATCTGAAGATGGGACAGTTGGTGGGCAGGCCAAAACAACATATCTATTAGCCATACAAAAAGAATTGTCATTCTAAATGAACTCTAAATCACCTTGGAATTTTAAGAATTCAAAAAAAATGGAGAATTCTTGGATTCATCGTAATTTGGTAACAATAAATATTTCTTGTAGATTTAGAGCCCTTTTAGTTTCCACAGAATGTTCCATAGGAAGAATGGCTTTCAGTTGCAAGCATGGAAATAAGGTCAGGTATAAAGAAGGGCTTTGGGCCCCTGAGGATTGCTAAAGCAGTATAGAAGAGAGGTCCGTAATTCAAGGTGCATGTTCTCTAGCTGAATGAGTCGTCACTTCCTCATGTGTCCAAGGATGATCTATTCAGTTCCAGAATTTAGTATCAGAATTCTCTGAGGCCAAAGCCAAAGACAACTCCAGTTGCTAAAAGTCTAACTCCATTCTTTGCTCTTCCCCAGGGAAATGTTAATTGTAAGCTGTCCTGGTGCTCCTCACCAGAGACATTTTGATGAAGGGTAGTTGGAAGAAAGGCAGGCATGGACAATGGGCCCCCATGCTAAGAGGAAACACCCTTAAAAGGATTTTATACCACCCCTGGAAGGAGCCCTCCACCCTTTCCCACACGGTAGATAGATGACAAAAACCCAATGGGGTGACATGCACGGAGGCTTGATCAGATGAAAACAGCCCACCAACAAGCCCATAAAAACCCCTAGACTTAGAAATGCCAGTGGTGGCATGCCTGGGTGGCTCAGTTGGTTAAGCATCTGTCTTCAGCTCAGGTCACGATCCCAGGGTACTGGGGTCGAGCCCCACATCAGGCTTCCTGCTCAGTGGGGAGTCTTCTTCTCTTTCTCCCTCTGCTGTTTTCCCTGCTTGTGCACTTTCTCTCTTTCAAGGTCAAATAAATAAAATCTTCAAAAATTAATTTAAAAAAGCTCCAGCAGCAACCCTCTCTAATCCCCTCTCTCTTTAGGGGCTTTATACTATCACTCAATAAACCTTGCTGTCCACCACTCTGTCTGGTCTACCTTTTCATTCTTCAAAGTGGCCAAGAACCAAGGACACTAAAAGAAAAGAAATGGTATTGCCCCTAACGATCTGATACTTCTTTGGGAACCGAGGACCACATTTTGACTGCCTTGGGCTCCCAGCTGTCAGCGAGGCTCCATGAGGCTGCC